TCGATGCGTCAAGGTTGTATTTATGATGATTTCATTTTGAATTAGACAAAGATCTAATATTTTCCCTTTTTTTTGTTTTGATTATTCTTCTTGAATATTTCTGAGGACTAGTTCTTATATAGTTTTCAGCCTATCAATCAGTTCACATGTTCTTTTAACAAGAGCTTTTTCAAAAGTAAGATTATCAAAGTCTTTTAATTCAATATCTAATGATGTGACTGTTTGTTAACCATATACTAATTAAAAAGGTTCAAATAATATCATACTTTACTTCATTGTCCTGTAGGTGAATAGAATTGAAGGTAGATAATGATCTCAATCTTTCTTATAGAGTTGAATATATTTTGATAATAAAGTGCATAAAGTTTGATTTAATTTCTCAACTAATCTATTAGTTTGAGGGTGATAAGATGCAGAAAGTCTGTGTTTGATTTAGTATTTGTCTAATAGTTCTTTAATTATTTTATTGATGAATATAATTCCTCTATTACTAAGTATTTCTTTTGGAAATCTATGTCTTATTACTATATCTTCATAAAGGAAGGGGATGATTATACTTGCAAAAGTATCAGTAATTGATCTTGTTTTAGTTCATTTAGTTAGATAATCAATAATGACTATAATATAGTAATTTTCATTGCCAATTACTAAGAGAGATTCCATCAAATTAATTCTAATCTTTTCAAAAGATGCATTAACTTGAATAGATATTATTTTGTTATTTTTATGTAATTATCCTTTTCATTAATATATATCACAGGCTTTAATATATGTGTTAATATCTCTATATATCTGAGACCAGTAATAATTTCTCATTATTCAATTATAAGTAGTTTCAATTTCAAAGTGTCCAGAAGTAATATTTAAATAATTATTATAAAGAACTGACTCTATTTCTGTTGATTTTATAACTAATAATAGATGATCAATATCCTATTTATTTCTTTTATATAGTTTATAATTTTATATAAAGTATTTCTTTGATTCTGCCAATAGCCATTTCCATTTTTTTTTTGAGAATTCATCAGATATTATTAGCATGTTGAGATAGTTATATAATTCTGTATAGTTATCCAAATTTATATTTTATCTTTTTCTTTTATAAACATGTATGATATTCTAAAAAGTAGATTAACATTTGAATAGATTCTTTCAGATTTATGTTCAATCTTAAAATTGTATTCTTGTAAAATCATTATCCAATATGCAAGTCTTTCAGAAGGATTTGATTTATTGATTAACCACTTGAGTGCTGAGTAATCGGTAACAAGTATGAATGGAATATTAGATAATAGATAAGATCTAAATAGCTTGATTATCCAAATAACTTCAAGATATTCTAATTCTATTGCAATATACTTGCTTTCTTTCTTACTTACTCTTCTACTAGCATAGGCTATCATATGTTTCTTTTTTTCACTGTCATATTATGCTAGTACTGTATCTAATCCTAGTTCAGAAGCATCAGTAAAAAGGGTAAATGGCTTTGTGAAGTCTGGATACGTGATAATTAATGGTGAGATCAAATATTTCTTGAATGATTTAAAGGCTGTCTATTGCTTTTCTATCCATCTGAATTCTTCATTCTTTCTAAATAATTTATATAAGAGAGCTGTTATCTTGGCAAAATCTTTGATAAATCTCCTGTAATAAGAGACAAGTCCTATAAATCCTCTTAATGATGTGATATTAGTGAATACTGGGAATTCTTGTACTTTTTCTATCTTGGCTGGATCAGGATGAATTCCATCTTTTCCTATGATATAATCTAGGAAAGATAATTAATTTTTTCTAAAAGCATATTTGTCTGGTTGGAGCTTGAGATTTGCCTGTTAAAGTTTTTCTAGAGCTTTTTATATGTGTTCTACATGTTCTTCCCAACAGAAAAGCAATTATATAATCTTAGCTGTTTATTACTGGTGTGATAACTTAAGTTTGTGCTCGACGTCAACGTATGCACATATTCTTGAATTCGAACACTGTTTTATTACATCAATAATCACAAGACAAACCCTTATCAATCAATGTATTTAATCGAGAGTATGTTTTTTTAATAAGCGTGGGAGTTTTTATGACGTTATCCCAATAACACTATGCATTAATAATTCTAGAAAAAATTCTCATTGTTAGGCGGTGATTTACGTTGTTCGAGTTTTGTCTTTCGAAGAAATGCAAACGGTATGAATTTAGTTAAAGCAATAGAGGATCGAAAAGAATTGATTCAATAAAATAATACCTGAATAAATGATTCGATGTCCTGCTTGGTCACCGTCTTTCCTGATGCAGCGAAAGGTTGAAGAAATTCACGAATTTCGTCACTAAACGAAAAGAAAAAATAACTTTAAAACTTGACGCCTTTTTCCGGAATTCAATCAATAATAAATGAAAGCTAATGATATCAAACCGCATTTTATTGTACGCAATAAGTCCTGAACAAAGGATTCAAGATCATTATCATGGTATTGTTTTTAATGTGCGAAGATGACAAAGCCTGAGCCTTTCTTACCTTCAATTGCGGTGACACGATCCATTTGTGTCAATAATTTCATTCCACTATCAAACAGAGAAGTAGCTGCATACGAAAAATCGAAATATTTTTTAAGATGGTTTATTTTTATTATCATAATGATCAATTATCTATACTTACATGCATCATCGTCTTGAGCCGGTTCAAAGGTTTCTTCTTCCTGCAAAATAAATTCTATTTGATACTGATGATAAAGTTGCTTACACTGAACAAAAAAAAGGGAAAATATTAGATCTTTGTCTAATTCAAAATGAAATCATCATAAATACAACCTTGACGCATCGA